AAGTGGAGGCGTAAGTAAAGTTTTGGTGTTGAGCTTATTTTCTTCTGCTTAAAGGGTTACTCCACCCCAAAATGAAAATGTTGTCATTAATCACTTACCCCCATGTCGTTCCAAACCCGTAAAAGCTTCGTTCGTCTTCGGAACACAATTTAAGATATTTTGGATGAAAACCGGGAGGCTTGTGACTGTCCCATTTAAGTAAATAACACTGTCAAGGCCCAGAAAAGTATGAAAGACATCGTCAGAATAGTCCATCTGCCATCAGTGGTTCAAACGTAACGTTATGAAGCGACGAGAATACTTTTTGTACGTAAAGAAAACTAAAATAACGACTTTATTCAACAATTCGTCTCCTCCGCGTCACCGTAGCGCCGTTTTGGAGAGTATCCACTGAACGCAAACTGCGTATGCTGTTCTGTGTCCGCCGCACCACACGGATGCGCTGTTTTCGTTCAAATCAAACCATAAATAAACATCGAAAACGTCTGTGTCAGCCGTGTAGTGCGGCTGACACAGACAAGTAGAACAGCATACGTAGTTTACGTTCATTGGATAAATCTCCAAAATGGCGCTACGGTGACGCGGAGGAGACGAATTGTTGAATAAAGTCGTTATTTTTGTTTTCTTTGCATGCAAAAAGTATTCTCACCGTTTCATAAAATTCACATTGAACCATTGATGGCAGATGGACTATTTTGACGATGTCTTTCATACTTTTCTGGGCCTTGACAGTGTTATTTACTTCAATGGGACAGTCACAAGCCTCCCGGTTTTCATCCAAAATATCTTAAATTGTGTTCCGAAGATGAACGAAGCTTTTACGGGTTTGGAACGACATGGGTGTAAGTGATTAATGACAAAATTTTCATTTTGGGGTGGAGTAACCGTTTAAAACGTGGAAAATACTATGTAAACCTACTTAACATAATCTTTTGCTGTATAGGTGTTTATTGATTGATTTAACGTAATGAAGTAAACTACTCGCATCTTGTATAAAAAAAAAAAAAGATGTCTGTTGGACACGATGCAAAGTAAATCTGTCTTAATTCAGACAATTTGGGTTTTTGTTCCTTTCCTATTGGACTAATTGCAATTTGGATGTAAATATGGTCCTTCGCTGTATGCAAATTTGATTCTCAGTGATGAGCTCCCAGCAACTATTTTATATTTTATGGCATTTGTTGAAAAGAAATATTGAATGCAGTAACCCAGAAATCACAGTTTTCTGTGTGGAGCCGAGTTACACAACATAAACATTGTCCAGGTAAAGCACTATGTGCTGTTATGCTGCTGCTTTGCTTAAGAACTTCTTCTGTGGGCGAAACGGTCATTAAACTTCAGCACATAACTCTTCCCATACCATTTGTGCAACAGAAGTGAACTAAATGCATTAGTGCCTGTCCACTTTTTCAGCAGCATTGGTTCCAAAAAATTTTTTTTTTTTCATTAATTTTTCTCATAGAGATTTTAAAAGAGGTATCTTTAAAGCGTTACAAGCCATGAACAAAGCCACATGAATCACATAATTGTTTTTATTTAAAGCAAAAAAAGGAAAAGGTACAAGACTGTCTACTTAAGGGATAAAATGGATAGTTCACCCAAATATCATTTACTCGCCCTCATGTTGTTCCAACCCTGTATGGCTTCAAGAACGTACAGTATGTTGGTAACCAAACAGTTGATGGTAGCCATTGACTTGCATAGTACAGTGAAAAAATACTATTGAAGTCAATGGCTACTGTCAACTGTCCGGTTACCAACATTCTTCAAAATATCTTTTGTGTTCAACAGAAGAAAAAAAGCTCATACATGTCTGGAACAACATGAGGATGAGTCGGTGATGATCATGCAAACTTTCATTGCAGCTCTCTGATTGGTGGAATTGTCTGTATGCATCATGGGTAATGTAGGTTTCATCATGAATTCAGCTTTTAAACACGAAAAAGCTCCAGACAGCTGCAAAACAAAGCACTATACCATCAATTAACAACCTCAGAACTTAGAAGTGATTTAAAATCAGTTTCCCTGTGGAGAAAATTGAGTGTTTACTCCTGAAACCCAATTGTTGCAGCCTAAATCACACAGTTTGTTTCATCTCGTGAATTTTTCATGGCTGACAATATAACAAATGGAAAAAGTCCTTTAGGCTCGAGATGTAATGGGGCTCCATGAGAATATCATATAGACTTGGGGGTGGGCATTCGACTTGGATCAGTAAGCAACCACCTAGTAACTGCCCAAAAACCCGAGCAACCGCATAACAATGAGCTGAAAACCCACTCAACACCTTATCAACCATATAACGGTGTTCTGGCAAGCTCCCACAACACCCAGCGAGATCTGCTTTCTGCAGAAGATGTAAAAATGTAGGTTTTATATCTGCAGCTCTTCACATGCTTTCTACAATGCTAATTAAAGTCTGCTTGTGTAGCCAAGAACCCAAGAGGTAGAAAAGATGCATCAAGGGCACTGAAATCGCTTCTCTGATTACAAGTACAGACTGTGCTATTGCTTCCTTTACAGTATCTCCAGTTTCCTCTCTACCTCTCAGACAGGAAAGTCAGTTTCTTTGGAAATGTGCAATTTCACCTATGGCAGGCTGCAAAATTCATGAGCAAATCAAGCCGCAATCCGCCTTAAATTCATCTGTGACAAAACCTAATCAGAAAGCGCGGCAGGCTCTCCAGTTCTGAAGAGGTTGAAAATGATTTTTTCTCCAGTGTCACCATTCATAGAGGCTGTGGACGGATCTCCATGAATTTATAGTGACCGTGTCTTTTCTTAACATATCTTGAAATGTCACTGTGTAGCTCATGTTCACTTGGACTGAAAATACACATGAAGTACATTTCTCTTTGACACCGATACAAACTCTGCGAGACATTACGGATTTAAAGCTCTGTTGTATAATAGAGGAGTATATCGGTATGTCGGGTAGATGTAGCCATAATCACTGAATAATTTCACATATGTATTGGAAAATTACACAAAATATTAGTAAATTAAAGGCAGCTTTATTAAAGTCTTTTTGATCTTACTCATTGGATGTTTCTTTGCTTCATCAAAATTAATGATTTTAAGAATTATTTATGTGCATTTTATAAAAAAAAAAAAAAGATGTTTTCCAATAATACTACGTGAGTTGTTTTCCATGTACTGAACTTCTTTAGCATAAAAGAAAAACAACATATTTCACTTTCTTTGCACTTTTCATTTAGAAAGGAACTGAACTGACCTGCATTACAGGACATATACTGTGTTTTCTGTGCAGGAATCTTCTGTTCAGTTTAGACAGTTGCCAAAACATATTATTTGAAAGCAATCTCATTTTACAGTAACATATTCTAGTGCTGTACATTCACACCGCAGCTGAATGTAGCCCAAATCTGTCCCCGAGCTCTCATGTGAGAAAAATTGCATTGAATCTGACATTTTCAGTTCCGATCTGGGCCACTTTTTTATATGTGGAAAAAAATAGGACACATTAAAATGTTGACTGCAAACGTTCAGGTAAGAATTCATATGGATTTTTTTGTCAGTTGAATTCTACATTTGTCATAGTAGTAATAATAATAATAAAAATGTTCTTGATTTACAATGAAGAAGACTGGCAAGTGCTCTTATTTGACTGTTTGATATGGACCGCAAGTTTGTAAGAACAATTTCATGAAGTTGTATTTAAGCAGAAAATTGGAATGGGACACTTTGGTTCACAGTATGAATGCAGCCAGGCTGTGTACAGTTACACTTCGAGTGTGGCTTTCCAATATCTCACTACTTCACTGCGATATGAGCGGTTTCCTTGTGATTTTTGTGTAATATAGTACCTTTGTTAAGGTGTAGAGCATGAATAAGGCACTAGACTGCTTTGAGATGGGACCAGATATAGATGTGGTCTGGTGTACTTGCATATCTAAGTGTTCACCCAATGAAAATGGAGTCGAAACAGAGGCTTATTTCATATGCCCTCTGACCAAAGTTGTGGGGAAACTGAAAATGAGACGTAACCCTGCACATGACTCCTTGAGACCTGAAACTCAAGTGATGAGTTAGGAGCATAAATCTTCCTTGCAGCAGTTTTATGTGACAAACGCAGGTGCCCTCCTGTCTCCTGTCTGGAAAAAAAAAACATATAAAACTTTATTTATTAGCATCATTCTGGATAAGTGACCTAAAACATATCCAAAAAAAAAAGTGTTTGTTGTAAGATTTACTTTGAACCCATTTTTACTCAGAAATAGCAGTAAATTTTACAAATAATAAACAATAGAATAAACACAAATGACAATTAACACATTGTATGTGTGTGTGTGTGTGTATATATGTGTATGTGTATATATGTGTATATGTATGTATATATATATATATATATATATATATATATCACGTCATTCATCCTCATTAATGACATTAAATATATTATACAGTCATATTAACATTGGATGTTATTTAAAACAATATTTGTTGTATGACTTTACTCAGAAATTAGTAGTAAATTTCACAAATACGGCAAGAAAACGGCACATTACATTTTAACGTGCAAAAACGTGTACTTCGTAATGTATTTGCAAGTGCCTCAAGTATCACACACACGTCATTCATCCTCATTAATGACATTAAATATATTATACAGTCATATTAACATTGGATGTTATTTAAAACAATATTTGTTGTATGACTTTTTACTCAGAAATTACTAGTAAATTTCACAAATACGGCAAGAAAACGGCACATTACATTTTAACGTGCAAAAACGTGTACTTCGTAATGTATTTGCAAGTGCCTCAAGTATCACACACGTCATCCATCAAAATAATATATAGTTATTAATAATAGTACATTTGGAGTAAATATATACTACACATGTCATATTGACATTAGATGTTGCATATGCACATAGGCTATAATATATATGTAATTATATGGTGTATGTGGAATAAGCGCTCCCGTCTCTCCTTATTGGGCGCAGCAGAGGGAGTGGAGAGAGAGACACACAGAGGAGCGCACCGACTCTGCGCTCCAGTCCGCGGCTCTCCAGCGGAGGAGCGGAGCGCACACAGACAGACACGCTGCCGGTCTTTTGCGCATGAACAGCAGTCAGTGCCTTCTGTTCGACCCGCTTCGAAGGTTTGAACACTGACGGATCTAAACCTAACCAGCATTCCCTTCCAAACACAGGAGAGCAGCGGCGACGTTTGGATACACGCACCGCACAAGCACGGGGATGTGGATCATAAAGTTGGTGTTGATTTGGACCTGCTGGATCGGAGTGAGCGCGGACTTCGATCGCAGGTGAGACCTCAGTTAAACGTCTGTGGACGATTGAATCAATGTGTTTTGGTAGAGTAAACACATTTTAGTTTGGTTTAATAAGAGTAATTGCCTTTTTTAAAGATGGCTTTAAAGTAAACTACTTTAAGATTTTAAACATCCTGTCAGATAAGGAATCTCTATAAGTGTTAAGTTGCATTGTATCATCTCAAGCTAAAATATTCATATGTGCTGGGCTATATAGGTGTGCGTTTAAACGTAACAGGGTTGACCGTTTTAGAGTTAATATATTATAAGCCATTACTAGATTAGCGTGCAAGGTCAAAACACTTAAAGGTTTTTATTACAAAGATTTGATTGCTGATATTTCCTGAAACATCCAGTTTTGAATAAGCAGTTGTGTAATGTACGAAATCATGATAACATGGTTGAGTTTTTAAGATCATCCATTGACAAGCCTCACAGATAATGTGATACAAATCAAGGAGACACTTGTGCTTGAAGACTTCACATTCTGAAAGTATAATGATGCTATTATGACAGCACCTTTTATAAATTAAAAAAAAAATCTTTTAATCAGAGTAACAGGGTTGATGGATAACAAATCTAAAATATCCATAGGTATCATCAGGAAGGAAAGTTTTTTTTGTTTTTTTTTCATTTTTAAGGTCATTGTTTACACAAATGCTCAAGATTTGTTTCTACAAAAGTCACACTTTTCATGAAATGAGCCTTAAGTAATACTGCAACGCTTTTGAAAGCATCATGTAAACCCCAGATGCCTCAAGTTTAGTGCTGTTGTGATCAATTAAATTTAGGACGGGTTTAAAGTTTGTGTTGTTACTGTGTTGTCAATCAAACAGTGAACTTGTGAACTTACATCCGTCTAAAGCTGCTCTTAAAGATCTGCACAAATGCAAAATCCCGGCATTCATTCTTTAACTTATCAGTAGTTTTGAATACATAAATAGACAGCAGTTTGTAAAACATGCATTTAAGAATCATTTATTCTCCCTCTTGGACAGTCAGTGCACGCGTTCCCGGTTGTTTCGTGCCCCAACATGTAATGTGAAATATGTGGTGAACAGAAACGTGCCAAAGATTCAAATCTGCTTAAGGCTTAATTGATATTAAAGAGGATCGTATATCCATGCTCAAAATGAACTATGTGCTTCAGTAGAGGTATCTCACTATATCTTAGGGCAAGGTTTCTCAGTCCATTCCTGCAGGCCCACCTGTGCTGCACATTATAGGGGTCTCGCTAAACTAACACACCCAGTGTAGTTCATGAATCCCTCAGCTGGTGAGATGATAGTTGAATTAGATGTGCTAAATAAAAGAGATATCCAAAAGCTTTCAAGAATGGATTGCTGTAGGGAGATTATTACAGTGGTTCATTGATCTCTCCTGTCACATTGTGTAACTGCTTTTAAAGCAAGTTCTAAGTGCCAACGGTCAGCTTATTATGACTCATCTCTTATTGAGTATGCATTGCTGAATCACATAATTTATTATGTAATGCTTAATTATGTCATTAAATTATGCATTACTTAAATAGGCCTACTCATTAAATATGAACGGTAATACTTCATGTATTAATAAGTTATGTATATGCTGCATACTAAAGTATATAACAATTCACATAAAGTCAACATAAAATCAAACTGTTTACTTTTTTAATGCACATATTTGGTCTTAATATGAACTATTTTTTTCCCCACTGATTCCTGCCCTACAATTTTACTCCTATAAAAGAATAGTTCACCCAAAAATGAAAACTGTATCATGTCATTCCAAATAGTGTGAATTTCTTTCTTCTGTGGAACACAAAAGAATATATTTTGGAAAATGAAAGTAATGGGGTTCAGTGGTGTTTTGTATCCCACTGACTTTCATTTTATAGTTCTAAATACCTTGTCAAAGAAAGTCAAACAGATTTGAAAATGTTCCTGTGGCTCAGTGGTAGCGCATTGTGTTAGCAGCGCAAAAAGTCGTGGGTTCGATTTCCAGGGAACACACATACTGGTAAAAAAATTTGTAGCCTGAATGCACTGTAAGTCGCTTTGGATAAAAGCGTCTGCTAAATGCATTAATTATTAAATTATACAATTTATGGAAATAAAACTGGTTTCGAATAGCATCTCAACATTTATTAACTTTGCAATGCTTATTTATGTCATTTTAGTTTGTATAGACTTATGTCATGCACTAAGTATGCATCGCCTACTTCCATCATGTATTAAGTATGCATCTCCTACTTATGCCATGTATTAAGTATGCATCACTTACTTGCGTCATTTATTCAGTATGCATCACCTAATTACGTCATTTATGCAGTATGCATCACCTAATTACGTAATTTATTAAGTATGCATCGCTTGTGTCATGTTTAAGAATGCATTGCCTAATTACGTCATTTAAATATGTCGCTTAATTACGTCATGTATTCAGAATGCATCGCCTAATTACATCATTTATTCATTATGCATCGCCTAATTACGCTATTTATTCAGTATGCATCACCTAATTACGCCATTTAAGTATGCATTGCCTATTTACGTCATTTATTCAGTATGCATCGCCTACTTACGTCATGTATTAAGTATGCAATGCCTAATTACGTCATGTATTCAGAATGCATCGCCTACTTATGTCATGTATTAAGAATGCCTCGCCTAATTATGTCATTTAAATATGTGTTGCTTCATTACGTCATGTACTGTATTCAGAATGCATCGCCTACTTACGTCATGTATTAAGTATGCATCACCTAATTACGTCATGTATTCAGAATGCATTGCCTAATTACGTCATTTATTAAGTATGCATCACCTAATTGCATCATTTATTAAGTATGCATCGCCTAATTGCATCATGTATTAAGTACGCATCGCCTAATTACGTAATGTATTAAGTATGCATCGCTTAATTACATCATTTATTAAGTATGCATCACCTAATTACGTCATGTTTTAAAGGGGTCATATGATGCTATTTTAAAGATCATTATTTTGTGTATTTGGTGTAACAGAATATGTTGCAGAATATGCTTTAATGTTCAAAAAACACATTATTTTTCAAATACTGTACATTATTGTAGGTCCTCTTGATTCAGAAGCGCCAGATTGTCATAGCAAAGTCGGAATTTAGCCTTTATGCATAGCCAGCCTTGTACTCTTCTAGGTTAAAAAAATGTCGTCCATAAAATGTGTTGCACAAATTCGAACATCTGGGTTGTGCTGTTCTGT